GATTTAAACGGTTGTATAATGAATCCATCTAAATTAAAACCCTGTTCACAAGTCAACTATTTTCCAACATCGTTTTCAACTTGAACTTTACTGTTTATTCTTCTTCTTATTATTATTATTTGGATTGTTATTGTTGTCGTCTAATGGACGATCTTTTGCAAACACTTACTAATATCCACCTACCCTACCCTACCACACACACACACACCAAATAAACAAATATTTCGTATACTGGATATTTGTTTCCATCACATTTCTGTTTCACACAGGCATTCTATCGCATCAATTTATCTTATTCACACTATCATTCAATGTTTATTTATCAGTCTCGTACTCATCCTCATTCTCTTTCCCATACTCATCCACATGCTCATTGGAAAACACCTCGTCCAGTTGTGAAACAATATTGTTTTGTTATCATATACAAAAGGTGAATGCGTTTTATTATCCTGTTTGTTGCCTTGTCATGTTTATTCCATTTGGACATGTTCATTATAGCTGAATGAATGATAATGTAAACATTCACATGTATTTTGGGTAGAGAATGGTAACACTGGTAGTAACAGGATAATGATCTGATCGTTGAACTTCATGTTTTGCTTGTTGTTTACGAAATAAAACTATTTGTTTTGTAAAAGTACACTTTAAAGTTTACTATGAACACTGATGAATGTGATCTGTGTATGTACCTACTAATTAGAAATACACATACATGAAGAGAGGTTGCACTATGAATGTTTATTTAAAGCGTAATACGTTTGGAATTCGTTGAATGATGTCGTGTTTACGTTGGGAATTCTGACAACGGAATGTGCTGAGTTTCATTGAACATCATTTGCATACAGAATCTTCGCGCAGTTATACACAATACAGAAACCATGTTAACTGCTCAATCTCATTATCATGTCAGCGAATTGGACTGATGTATCAGCAACCTTAGAGAACTTTAGACAAGTTCATGTATATTCAGTAAACAGTGCTTCTTCAGTCAGATACATACTGATTACAACAGGCCATAATATATGTGTCAACATTTGATTGATATACAATGTTCAAATGAAAACGGAGAATTACAATATATGAAATTGGTTTGGTATTGTTTCTCTAAATTTTCCCATTGTTGTTTAGTACTGCAATTGATCAGTGTATTATTGGCATATCTACATTAATTCACAAGCATTATAATCAAAGGTAAATAGTAACTAGCAGTGGAATCCTGGACGCACGTTTCGTCCTAAATGGGACTCGTCCACAGAGTGTACATGCATACTATATTCGATGCTCATCCCTGTAAGCGAACCCACTATCTTTCGCTATATTTATGGAATTTCTCAGAAATGAAACTGCCTATTGAAAAAAGTATAGAGTATTACAAAACATCCAAGTAGAATAACAATATGTTATGTTGTGAAGCTAACTGATGACTTAGCTTCATATGCATTAAATTCAATCACATTGATAATTTAGTTCAGATAGTTTCAACGAAAATCAGGGTTCTATTCACTCAGCTGCATACTTACATGTAGAAGAAATACCATCAATATTAGGTCAAATGAATTCGACCTATCAGTCGCATAATGTTCAATTTCACTTGGTAAGAGACTACTACAGATACATGCACACGACTTGTTCACTACGTTGGTCAACGTGAACTAACTAAATGCATACAGAAGGAATAAGACTTCCAAGTGAAATACAGTTGGAAATATGGAATTGATTGTTCCATTTGAAGAGTGCATTATGTTATATTTCATCGAATCACATAGTGAAATTGATAGCCTATAAGTATTTTACATGTGTAGCTTTCATAGTTATCAGTCGTCATATATTATTCCTCACAAAATACGAACGATTGTCATACGTTTTTCCTAATCCTCTTTAGTATGGTAAAGTTTGCATTTATCCAACTGGTCAGAAATTCATTATGAGCAGTTAACCAATTGGTCAGTTTGTGGATATTGAAAATTCCACCAATCAATTGATTCATCTCCACTATATAAACAGCAACATCAGCAACAGAAGCAGCAGCAGTAGTAGTAGTAGTAGTTATGAGCAAGTGATTATTATTGTCGAACAATACTGCATTTCGTATGCCTATCATGTTACATCAAATGATTGAACATTCGTCCATTATCACTGCATACATTTCAGTTTGTCTTCTCGATTGCTTTAATACACAATCAAATGTGGCACATAACTTTACATTGTTATCCTTATGTGAGGAGTGTCCGGAATGTAATACAAATATGCATTGTAACTACTCACAATGGATATGCATATTGGGACTATCAAAGCTATCGCTGGCAGAAGACTACTGGTTGGAAACGGTTGAAACGAAATCAGACTGCTTAAATGAATGCCGATATTATCCTCAGTGTAACCTATATACATATGAAATTGTAAGTTTCAGATGCGTTTTACTTTCTAATTAAACATGTAAATATGAGAGAGAATTATAGTATTAGCATTAGTCCAAATTTGCATAGTGGTGGACCTAAATTCAAGGACATTCATTCATATAACAATCAATAATGATGTATTGCCATCCTCAATCAATCTGTATGCACAATAAAGTCTTAATAAACTCTCAGTAATACCATTCATTTCGAATATAGATGTAAACCATCTTTCTGTGTGAATTCACCTTCATTTTCAGAAGAAATATCATCTAGTTTATATCTCTGATCATCTCATATTTAGACTGGATGGTTGACAATTGATAAAGTTAAGTGACAGAATTGAATGAAGCTGTAGTTGGTGATCGACTGATACACGTGGTCATCTGTTTATATTAATGATTCTTATTTTCGTTTTGTATCCAACATAACTCACCTTGTGGTGAAATAAGATGAAGCAGTTTTCTGACACCACTCACCTTCTTAGCTCATATCTCATTTCTAACTCTTCAACATTTCCAAGAATCATTCAACTCTCAGTCGACTTGTTAATTGTAAAAGACAAGAAACCATTTTAGTTCGAAATCATTGAGCATTTCAGCTAAATATTCAGTGTGGAATTTGCAGTAGTAGTGACTCAAATGTTACATTTCAACTAATAGATTCGTCAATTTAAGACTTATTTTGAATTTCTTCCTATTTACAGCACGAACCGAGATGGTGCGATCTATATTCTGGGTTCATTGCAAATATTACCATCAATGTCAATTCAACTAACTTTATAACTGGAGGGAGAGTGTGTTGTCATAAATCCAAATCTTGTTTAGAATAATAATACAACCAGTAGAATATTGTTTACATTTTGAATGAGGACGTTTACTATTTACTCTCAAAACTGCTATGGTACATGTCATCTGGAAATATGCAGTACCCATGAAGAAGTGCTTTACCGTGGATTGGGAGAATTGATCCATCTTTACTGATAAATACATTATTGAATGAAAAAAAGTGTCTAATTACGCAAATGAGATACACGTGGAAGGGAAGTTCACAAAATAGCGATTGATGTGAGGGTTAGTTTCTTATATTGCGTGTAGTTTCGTTAAACTTACAGCCTGATAACTGGTATTACGGAACTCAACAAAACTGAATTGAGAATGCGATATGATGCAGCCACTACAACTTATCAGGTGATCGCGCGCATCAGAGAATTACAACCAGATCAGGCGGATTCGAAGCGAAATAGGCCGAAGAATCATTGCGAGCGAATATGGAGGCAACTTTATAGTAATACCAAATAAAATAACAGTGAATCAAAGCCAACTTTCATTTTATAATACAATCACATATATATGAGAGATGATTGTTTTTGAAGAAACGGAACATCCAAATAGGTGTTCCGGGATTTCACACTTTGAATTGAAGAAGTTACCAGTCTCAAGCTATTCCAAAATCCATTATCATAATAATTCTGATTATTTGTTTTGAAGAAGTCAGTGCATTCCATACATGACTTGAGATATGAAGCAATAAATCGTTTGATTTGTGTATTCATTACTTGATTACAGCTCACGTAGAACGAGTGTTCATTCGTCCTTGGAACCTCATATTCACTTTACAAGTATCGACTGAGTATTTTAGTAGTGATAAGCTGGGTCGATTGCATCTGCTTAACATTATATTTAGATTTGTATTTATGAAAATCACATGTCATATGTTCATCAAGTTACATGAACCGCAGACTTTGAAGACAGCAGTTAGAAACGTTTGTGGAATGTTAGTACAGTGTACATTCTGTATGTGAACTTGAAATAATACCAGACAGTTATAAGCACAAATTGGTAAAAATCTAATCACAAATGGATTGCATACATCTACTTGTTACGAGCTTTTATATATAAGAATAAAAGGTCAACTAGACCGGAAACGTGTATATGTCTGATCAGATGGTTCGAAATGCATTGCTCTAATATATCACAAAGTTCTGACAATCTTCATCTACTCATTATATTATCGAAATCCGTATAATCTTATTTGAGTTCTGTGGTTTCAAAATTGTCACTGGTGCACATACGTGTGTTATTTTCATACCATTTGAATAGCTAGTCGATCTTTATAGGCTATGACGTAATTCCATAGATCTGGTCTTTACTATTACCTAACAACATATATGTGTTATTTTAAAAATACGAATATGAAGAACAGAACAAAGTTTTATTAGTTACTGATCAGTAACCATGTGAACATAAAAGTCATATTATAAAAAAAATTTTTTTAAAAATCATCAAAACATTAAAAAAACTTTAAAAAAATACCTGATCACAGAAATAAAAGTGAAATGAATTCTCTCATTAAAATTATTACTAGTCATATATGAATAACAAAATCAATAGTAGGCAATTTGATCATTCTTGTAAGCTAATAAATGATCAACTTTCCTTATTATTAGTCATTCAATGGTGATGTAATATGTCCAAGAAATATTGGTAGACAATTATTCCAAACAATTGAAATAAAGAATGGATGATCAACACGAAATTCGGGTACGGGTTTGTGAGGTCTCAGAGATGTGCAGTATACCATTTGTGTCGCTGTAGCTGCAGCCGCCACTGCACCTTTTTCATCCACCTATATATGTATTGGGAACAAAAGAATAAATAAACAGAAACAAACAATGAAAGATTCTATTTGTATACTGTCTTGAATAATTCAAAATACACAAAATAATATCACTTAGTTTTTCTATTTATTTATTTAAATACACAAACATTGGTAAAACGAGGCACCAAATAGATATGAGCAACATAAATCATTTAACTTCTGTCAGGGTTGGGATACTGCTCAGGTACCCATATCGAAGCAAGTAGTTTTCTTATGGGGCCACATCAGGAGCTAGGTGATCACCAACAATACGTTCATACGGCATTTGTTTCCTTAGGTTCTTGGAACCCATGTGCACCATTGGTTTGCAATCAGGGTTTTCCAACTCCCCTAGATGGACTCACCGTGTTCAACAATTCAGTAAACAACACCCTCGCCGTCGAAAGGTAGTGATGTGATGTAAAAATTATTCTAATATTCTTTTTACAACAAAATTACTGTAATCTCAGTCACCTTGCATTCTATTTCCATATTTTAATCCCGTTGTTTGGATATAATTGTATCTCACGAGAGTTGTGATCGCGTTAGTCATTTATTTATTTACCTATTTTGAGTTCGGTTCGTCAAATGAGGAATAGCTATGGTAATTTCCAGCTCGATCGTTTTCTCCCTCCGCTTTCCAACCTATCAGATCATAGCTTAGTGATGGGATAGATTTCTTCCTTCAACGCTGTCCAGCCATGAATCAGACTTATGTATTATAAATCTCACAGTAGCACTAAATACTCTAAAATAGGTCGAGACAACCCTCTTCCCACATATCATGCAGATTAAAGGATAGATAGATCAGAGAAATAGTGCCGTATATGTGACCTCTATACTCGACGCCCAATTCCTGGCAAACTGTTCGTTCTAATCTTGACCAATATTCGTATATCAGAATTATTACTTATTTGGTACGTCTTTAATGAAAGTTCAAGAAAAACTAGAGCTTCTATTATTGATAGCCACATAAACACAAATTCTGTTGGCAACTTAATATACTCGATGGTAAACCTATGGTATTCTGAAAGTACATCAAGTTGAGATGAGTGTTATTGTGTCAATCTATTACTAGAGAGAATTTTCCATCAAGAAAATCAATGACAACATTTTATAACAGGGATTCAGATAAGAAAGACTTTGAAAATTTTGACAAAAGTCTATACTTAAGCACTTGAGGTAATCATACAAATTCTGTCTGTAATCATTTTTTATCATTCGTATGTTAATATTGACATGAAGTGAATTAGTAAGCATACTACTTCATGGATGTAGGGCAAGATCGGTCCTAGCTCACGTTGAAATATGACTTTGAGCAGACAACCATTGACTCGGTAAGATGTACAGTATTATTTATGAACACAGTGAACCAAATATTAATGTTATCTGCTGTTTTACGAAAGAATGTTTAAAAAATTGTGAACCACATAGAAAAATCAATTTTTGTAGTCTCAATTTCGAGATAAACTATTGTGGTAAATACTAATGATATATATATGAGAACCTACACACACTCTGATAGTACTATTTGTGTGATTATGGAGTGAATGGTTAAATGTGATCACGCCAAATTGATAACCTTGTATAATAATATAGTTTAGTAATTTGATACGAGATATGCTAGATATATCAAAAGTTGAATGTCATTTGACGATCAATGAATATACCATTAGCTATATGTGTAATTCATTCATTTAACTGATCAGTAAATATTTACAATCAGTAATATACTGTATATTAGTAATGTCAGGATACATTAAGTAAAGCAAAGTTGTCTCCATGTTAGGTCATTCAAAACTATTCATTATTGTTACTATGTTATGACAGTAGAAACAGAATTTTGTGAACAATAAACGTGACATTTAAATGTAGATTGAAGTAGCTCTTCTAGAGTTAATGCCAGTCTCATGCTCGACTAAAGGAACAGGGTTGGGTATGGGTTAGCTACCTCTAGTGATTTGTGCACAATTTGTGCATAACATACAAATTTTTTCCATTTTCGTAACTATTCAGTAGTGTTGAATATAAGAAGAAACGCAAATATGTACGTTTATATTTATAACCAAATGATGTGCTATAAATTGCATTTGATTTCAGTGAACATTTGTCAATCAACACGAGATTCAAGAAATTATGCAACTATGAAAATGTATTACTGATAGCCAGAACTGATAACATAATTGTATATTACATATTCAACTACATTTACAAATAGCCAATGAATATTAAAAAAGCGGAACAATCGTACCTCCTCAAAACTGGTACATAATTAACTGAGATCAAAACAATTCCCAAAAATGTGTTTTCTACATGTATCTAATTGACTTACTTCAAAAACAGCTTTATGCATCACATCTGATATACACATCCTATCTGAGTCAGAAACATTTGAAAAGTCAGCTGATAAAGGACAGAATGCATCGTTTATCCCCAATTTTCGCAGATGATCTTTCAGTTTTATTGCATAACCTTCTCTTAATCTAAATTTAGGCAAATACAAACGCATTTTTGTATTTTGGAAACTCGTGGAAAGTATTGAAGAAACTCCACCATGTTTATACATTGAATCCAGTAAATCGGGCAATCCGTCATTTGCATCTGGAAGAATGATCAATAACGTAAACCTGGGTAACGAAGTGTTTGAAAAAGAAGGGATACTAAAGTAATATCAAGGAATAATTAGACAAAAACGGATACATTCAATAATCTCAATATAAAAACATGGTGCATTCATACTAGCACACTCAGTTTCACCTACAGTTTTCAAAGTGCATCAGATAGTTATCTTTCATAAACTGAACCAACTTTGGTTAAGCTAACATTATTTGGAGTTGTTTCCAGTGGTAGATTTATTAAGTATTCATTCACTGTATTGCAGAGTCAAATATATCTCATTATACATTTTCAGTAATAAAATACTATATATAATCCCTGCATAAAATCTGTACCCTTCATTTTGGTTTAAGAATTTATATTTCAATTGGATCGTACTTAATCTTGACCTTACAGCTCAAAAAATCACTGAAATGTGTGTAAAATAGTTTGTGGTTGAAAGTCGAAACGACGTTAAAACACTTTACTAGTTGAACAGATATGAATAAAAAGTGTTTTGATTAGTGTTTAGAATACCGACATACAAGTATGGCAGCACAATAACATACATTAAAATAAGTACGGCGGTGGTTACAAGTAATAAACAACAAGCCCTGGACATAGGTTTCGTGCTATTTGACAGCTGTTAGCAAGGTGTACCTGTATACTTGAGGAAACTGATCACTACTCATTGGTCAATCAATTGTAAATGCATAATAATTATAAATTTAGTCTATTAGTTCGAGCCCTTCACTAAATGAAGAGACGATAAAAGCAGCACACCGTCTAGCAACTAGTAGATTACACGTTCAAACCTCAATTTTAAGTGTTGAATAAATTGATACATATTGTGGAGAACTCAAAATGCCACAATTATGAGTGATTTTCTATCAGTGTTTGTTATTTAGATTACTACTGAAAATTATTACATTAGTTTTCTAAAAAGCACATCACAAAGCAGTAAAATACAAAAAAATCCTTTAAATATCATTACTCACTTGGGGTCTTTAAATGGTATCTTCGCAGCACGTGACCTCAAGTGGGGTAAACTGACCATATCGAAATATGATTCGTTATACATCAACTTCACACTCATTTTTGATCCACTCAATTCATAAAACTCGCTAGTATGTGAGTTATCCTCAGGAAAACACATATTCCACAAACCTAAATAACAACACCGGTTAAGATTTTTCAACTGATATCAGGTAGACAAATATAAAGTGGATGCAGTTAAAATGAAATTTATAATTATTCACAGTTAGATTCATGTATTCTTTTACCTTTGAAGTATGTGGTAGCTGTCACTACAGCAGACGTGTCCTTTGTTAAAGAACCGGGTGAAAGCAGTTCTTGAATTTGTCCTTTAGTTTGTTCACTAACCCACTGGTTTATCCGGTTTCGAGAACCTTCTATGTCAGTCTCAAATGCCACCTTTGCGCAAAAAATAGTAACGAATAGCAAGAACTTACATGTTCTGTTGGAGCATCGTAGTATGTCTTCAGATTAGTTTTGAACTGTTCCTTGATTCTCACATTTTGTGCAACGAACAATCTATTAGCAAGGATTATATTAACACCTTCACTAGGTTTCGAACAATCATTTAAAAGTTGAGCAATCTCATGATGAACTTGATCATGTTCTAAACAGTCAGACAATTGCATTGCCTTTGTCATCTCGGCTTTCGTATTGTTTCCACTGCCTGAAAGAACCATTCCGAGGGCAGTATAGATATTGAACGGCGAGAGAAAAACATTTTCCCATTGACCTAAACACATTCGTAGGAGCATTGTAGCAGAACGAACTCACCATGAGCTTCATTTAATATTTGTTCGTAAAACTTGTCAGTGAAGTTCGTAAGTGACTTTAATGCCTCCATCTTGTAGGAAGTAGAAGTACATCAGAACAATGACTACAATAAAATATTCGCAGTGCAAAACGTCAAAGAAACAGAGCAACAATCTAATATCAAGAACTTCAACCTGAGAGTGCGGTTGGTTAGAATTCCACTAATGCAGCTATCCTCTTACGAGGCTTACAAGTCAGTCAGTACAATATTTAATTTCATATGGTGCCATGGACGATCTTTAGTCAACCGACTATCATTAGAAAAAAACACTGTGAAGAAAGTTGTGTAACATATTGGTAATAATGATTCGCACCACTTTCAAATCAATGGAATGCCTATATACAAAATTATAAATTATAACAGCCCAGATTACCTTAATAAAAAAGCCAACTGTGAAACAGACTCAAGTTTTCCATCTACGTTAGTTACAATGTAAACCTATTCCTGACCCAATTAAAGGCACATTCTACTCATGATAACCGATTTATATCATAGTAAACCTTTAGAAATAAAGCCAGATTATATGCTAAAAATGAAACGAATACGTTGGAACGAGTTCAAGAGATAGATATTGAGAAAGTAAAATCGCATTGCCACCTTACCAATAGGAAACATACATCCTAATCGTCCACGTTTTATTGAAGTTTCGGTGGTGACCGTATATCACTTTACCGTATATTGAAAGACCATGGCATTACCATGTTTCGTTAAACGGCGGCCATCTACTTTACGCTTAACGTTTAAAATGTGGCTGTTGTCTACCTTTGGCCCAAATATATGACGAATAGTCTACTGTTCACCTAAATTGACACCGAACGGCAAATGACTATACCAGTGATCTACGTTGCGTCAATAGCAGTCAACACTGAAGTTAATTGTAATGAGATTCCGCCAACTTTGATTGAACACAGTAGCTGCAGCAATGAAAGACTTCTGTGTGACGATGGTATATGTAACCAGTTCAGTTAATTTCCTCAAAAATCTGATATTTTTAACATCAACTGCAGTTGTCGTGTGGCTTTCTATAGAAATAAAGGCGAACATAGGAGACATTTGAGGACAGGTAAAATGTATGTTGAAAATTTGAGCGAAGGTAGATAGTCCGGAGTATTTAGGCGAAAAGTACAGTTCAGCAACATTTAAAACACAAAGCAACGTAAATGGTAAGATCCACATTACTTCTCACTGACAGGCGACAAAACAGACAATAGGGCACCTTTCCCCATTATTTCCACTCTAAAGAGTGCATGGAAAATGGTCTAAAGACCATGTGGTTCCATTTGTCAAATATTTAACTATTATAAAATCTCGTAAAAGGAAGGATCGAGACTAGGAAAACAACAGCTCGAAGTACTAACATGAGCCTAGAAAATAGGTAAAGAACTAAAATATTCAGTCTTCGACAAGTTTACACTTAGTCTGGAAGTAGATTGTTTGCTAGTGTAATGTGAGGAGAAGAGAATCGACAGCAATTAAAAATGACACAAACGTGAGGACAGGACAATCTAACAATCGAGACAACAGTTGACATTCTAACGTTCCGAACGAGTTACGTCACTTTTCAAATATTGTTAATAGCCAGTACCATCCAATGCCCAATATTTCGACCCTCAAAAATTAATAGCTGAAATGAATTGGTGTGCAGTCTTATGATACTGACGGCTATCGTTAGTGATTTCTCTAAATACAAGTTCAGCTCACGTAAAGATTAACCCATGAAATCTTTTTGGTTTGTTCCGCTAATCTGATTCAACAACTAGATAGCTTATATTCCTTTGTTTAAATATATCTTCCTCTCACAACATCTAATAATTCTAGTTTCGTCAGGCCTAGGACTGTTTTACGGGACACTTTACTATTGTGTTTCAACTCATTTGAATTATAGTATGAACTAAAAGTCCTAGAAATAACGGAGTCCAATAAAGAGAACTAGATGAGCACAAACGAACGTATTGTATCTAGAATTTGAATTCGGGCATTCAACGACTACAAAAGAATAATTAGTCCGTTCAAACACCGTATCCGCCACGGCTTAATTTGTAGTCCAGGTGTTTGTTATCAATTGTACATCATCTCAAATTCATCCTGTGTCTGTCGGACGGTTTATTGGATAATGACTCTGTATTATCTGAGATGTACTCATTAGCACTAGAATTACCAATCGTAATTGGATCTGACACACCTGGTCCCTGAAATTGCATTTGATCAGCATATTGACTGTGTGTACTTTAGTCACTGATATCTAGAATTCGTACAATCGATTTTCCGACATTCTTCAGAACAATACCCGTAGATGGCCGAAGATCATTTCCTCGATAGTATGTAATTTCTGCAGACTTCAAACATCACATATTCGACCGAAGAATCCTTCCTCTCAATAGCTTCGCTGGAGTCTCTTCCGTCACCGAATGTCTGGCATTTCTATATTGCAGTAGAAAGGTATCTACTCCCCTCTTCTGTTTTTAATGTCCTGACAAATTTTTCTGCCTGGCCTTTAGAACACGGATGTCTGAGAGCAGTAAACAGATTTTCGCACCCTGTACCATTCAACCAGGTAGTGGCTGCAAGTGCAGCAAGTTGAGAGCCATTATCAGTCACCAACACCAAGGGAACCCCTTCTCGACTAAACACCTTTCTTAATGTTTGGATTGTGAAATCAGAATTTGATGAAGTTGCGAAAAAAACTTAAGGCCGCTTTGAAAAAGAATCAATAAATACTAGTGCATAGTATTTGCCAAGAAACGGACCACAATAGTCAACATGAATTCTCTGCCAGGCCTCAGGCGATACTGGCCATGGCGTCCACTTCGAAGGCTGGTTTTTCAACTAAAGACATTTCTCACAATTGTTTGCCGTACGACATATATCTGCACTTATCTCTGGCCACCAACATGCGAGCCTTGCCAAGGACTTCATTTTCTCAAAACCTAAATGAAGATCTTCAAGAACAGATTTACGCAATGAAGGAGGAACGACAACACGATCATTTAAACACAAAATACCATCAGGAATAGTGGATAGCTCATCCCGCTTTGAAAAATAGACAGGAATCCTACATTTCAGATTAGATTCCAACCTCCCCGTATAGCACTGAGTATACATCCAAAGTGTCTACGAATTTTTCTAATGAGATCTGGACGTCTCACCTGTGGAGGGTGCACTAAAAAACAGTTCGAATATTAACAGGTCTGTGTTGTAGTGGTTGTCGAGAAATGTAGTCAATGTGTTGAATTGGTTCGGCACTCCTGTGCTGAACCGTATAGTCATAGGCACTCAAAGCAATACTCCATCGTTGAACCATAGCAGCTGAAGAACGTGCTAAATGTTTTTCAGGATGATAAATAAACTTTGAAGCTTCATGATCAGTAACAATAGTGAAGTTCTTTCCGAATTAATATATATGAAGTCTTTTAACAGCTCAAAACACAGCTTATGCTTCTCGCTGAGTTTGTGAATAACCTTATTCAGTAACAGTGTGTTTGCGTGAAACACAGACAACTGGTCTACCTTCCTTTTCAAAAACTGCGACAATACCCAAAGGTGGTGCATCTGTTATGATCAAAGAATGTACACTAGGGGCGTAAGTTGGAAGAACAGCATCACTTTGAAGACGTTTCGGTAGACCTCATAAGCATGACTCTTGTTCCTCACCCCATTCGAATGAATTGGATGTCAAAATATTAAATAAACAATTTGCACGAAGAGAAAAATTAGGAATAAAATGGGAATAGTATTGAACAGCACCCACTAGTGAACGTAGTTCCGAGAGATTTTTGGAGACGGTGCATTTGTCAGTGGAACTAGTCGTTTCATATCTAGTCATAAATCATTACCATCAACTAGGTATCCAAGACATTCGAAACTAGATACACAACATGAACACTTATTTGGATTCACTGTTATATTTTTCTCAATTAAACGACGCAATAAAGCAATAAGTCTCTCGTCATGAACTACCTTATCAGAACCATGAGCAATTAGATCATCTTGATAAACTTCAACACCTTCAAGATCACTAACTGCTTTATTCATAACTTCCTGAAACATGGCTGGAGAACAGCTTACACCAAACGGAACGAACTTGCATTTGAACAGACTGAAAGGAGTGTTAATTGTCGTCAAAATAGATGAAGATTGATCTGTAGGGTTTTGAAGATCAACATCTTGTAAAGTAAAGTATCAGAATTTTCTTTGGAAACTAGGAAGGACAACTCCACCTTAAGCCTTTTCAAATTCCTTAAACCCAGTATTGACAGTCCTGTTTCGCTAAATAAAAATTCACAAGGTATATATGAAGAGTTGTCATCTCTTACTTACAGTTCGAAACATCTTCGTATGGGCAGTCTGTGTTCAGATTTCTCAATATCGATACTTCAGTGGGTCATACTAAAACGTTAGGATCTAAATATTCCAAGTTCTTTAATGAAATAATAGACTGTATACTGCCTGTGTCCACAATCAAGTCATGACGTGAATAAAGCGATGTATGCAGTCGCTTTTGAATACGAGCATTACCTTTCGAAATAGTAGACAAAGAAAATGATCACTAGGAACATCCGAATTATTGAGATATAAATTACAAGATTTGGTACTACTTCAGGCGGAAGGGCTTCGCATACTGACTGGATGTTTCCTATCTGATAACATTTAAAACATTAAGCATTACGGAATACACATGAATTAATAAAATGCAATTCGCCACAGGATAAACATTTACCAAACTTGATCTCATCATTGTGATTTGCTTTGTAATTCCTTATTGAAACGCCTTTCATGTTTACACGAGAATAGCAAACACTATCAAACGAACGCAAGTTTGATTGACCCTGGGATTGTATTTCATCATGATGACTAAGCAAATTATTAGAAATTTTCATCGACTGGATATCAAGTTCATTCACTGCCTCGTAATTACCACATGCAGTTCTAGCATCTTGAAAGGAACAGTTCGGCATTTCTAACAGCTCTCTTTCCAAACCCGGTATGTTAATTGCTGCAGTTAATTGACCTGTCAGTTGCACATGAAGTTGATCACCAAAATTACATTTGGCAGCTTGTTTCTGAAATCCAAGGATGAATTCTCCAAACTTTTGGTCATTTTGACGAATCAGATTATGAAATTTCGCCATTCACGGCATTCAAATGTAGTGCACTTTATATGATTTAATAATAGTTCCTTAAGAGTTGCATAGGGAAGTGAGATATGTTTTTCTGGATATGCCAAAATTTTTAATAAGCTGTATGCTTCTTTCCAGATGAATTCCAAGAAATGTGACACAATTTTATCACACCTAACATCTTTCTTGGTCATGCTCCAGATTCCGAACCTTTTCAAATAATCCTCAAGAGCTTCAGAAGTTGAATGAATATCTAATTGCTCCATCGCGACGCAATGTTATAATTAGGAGTATTTGAATTATAGTACGAACTAAGGATCCCAGAAATAACGCAAGTTTATCAAGAAGTACTAGATAAGCACGAACGAATTTACTTTATTTGAAATTTGAAATCAAGCATTCAACAAGCACAATGGAATCATTAGTCTTCCATCTCAGGCCCCATCGCGACACCAATATTGTGTTTCAACTTATTTGAATTATAGTATGACCTAAGAGTTCCAGAAATAACGCAGTCAAATAAAGAGAACTAGATGAGCACAAACGAACGTATTGTATCTAGAATTTGAATTCGGGCATTCAACGACTACAAAAGAATAATTAGTCC